TACTCTCAATAAAAGAAATAACATGTATGTATTTGATTGAAAACTGTAGTTTAATCCATTAAAACATGATAATATTCCATTTTCAGAAATCAGATACGAAAATACGGTAATCTAGAGATCATATAAAAATATACAATAAATTAGTTATCAGATAAACCTGATAATTGAAAGTTCTAAATGACAATTTATCAACCTGATAATTGAACAACAAGCCCTTTGCACAATCAATCAAGATAATAATTCTTAATAAAAACAGAAGATATATAAATAACAAAGAAGTAAAAGAACAATGAAAATTATTTAGATCTCACAATCCTTGAAAAACCAAAACTTCAATTATCCTCCAGTTGGAACAAAAGTATTTAGCTACTCATAATTAAAAGAACACCAAAAGAAAAACTTAAAGAAAACTTAATAAAAGACTTGATAAAACTTGATATCTCCTATGAATGCCCTAGCTCCCCTTTTATAACGATTTTCCTACTCTCGATAAGGAAGTTTCCCTTAAAGATAATCCCACAAGAATAGGAGTTTTAAATGCCCTCATCTTTTCCTAAAGATAAGAATAATTCAAAAGAGTCTTCCAGCCGTCATTAAACTCTTTTTCCCTTGTAAATTTGTAACCCTAATTTAGGGTTGTACAGATTGGTAAGACGCGCCCATGCCTTAACTAAAGACTTCTTCTGCGATAGATCAGGATGAATAAGCCGTGCCCACGCCTTATGCGAAAACCTCTTCTGGTCTTGCCAACTTCTTGGATTCCGATTTTTCCTCCTTAATTTGGGGATTTTGTGAAGATCATGCTAATAATTAGATTTTGAACTTGTTTTATCCAAATCTTCAACCTAATCCATAAAATACGAAATATAATCAAAATACATGATTTAAGCAATTTTAATTATTCAAATATGAGAAAAATATCATAGAATATATGTCTAATATGCATCTTATCAAATTCCCTCACACTTAAACCAATGCTTGTCCTCAAGCATACAATAGTTCAAATTCATAACTCTTCTCAACATCAATCATTCTTCTTCCTGTGCTTATCCTTCCAAAATCAAAATTGTCATACCTTAAAGACTCAAATCTAGACACAAGTAAGGAACGAGCAATTCGTAGAAGAAATTCTCATAAACCAACACACATGAATAACCACTCCATCAATCTTTTCGAAATCAAAATGCAATGGGATCTAATACCCTCACATTGGATTCACTCAATACGCTCGAAGTGTTTAGGGTGTCAATAAACTCTCAAGCCAAAACATAGAAATTTTTTACCATAAGCTTGCTAATCTATCACAGCCCCACCACTAGTCAATGAATTGAATACATAAAAACTTTAGGGTCTAAAACAGGGTGTAATGGGGCTTAGCTGAGGTTTGGTAGGAAATGAATTTGAGTTGTTTTATTGAAGGAGTTATACAAACTTATCCACATGGAACTCAATCTCAAATGTTCTCTTCAAGCCACATAACATTTTTTTTTGCATAATCTCTTATTCTTTCTTTCATTTGCACGATTTTTTCTCTTTCTTTTTCTTTTTTTTCTCAATGAATGAGATTGCAACTCGAATCACTGTATTCCAACATCTTCCGATCTTCTCAAGATAATTTGAATTCTCATGTGAAGAAGCTCATACAATCCTCCAATTCAAGGTTCAAAAGAGGGGAAATTAACAAAAAAGTATTTGATATTTGCTTGTATCATGGTTAATTTCAAACAAAAAGGCGTAGGCTCAAAAATTGGCTTTCTAAGGATGATAATTAGGGTAGGCTCTTTACGAAAGCTAAAAGTAGTTTTACTTAAATGCCCTTATTGTTCTTGATACATCCAATTCTAAAATGTGGTCTTTGACATGTATAGCAAAACAAGTTCTATAAAAAATCAATTATGTATGGCAATCACTCAATCAAGAAATGGAGCATACTGAAAATGAGTGCTCATTGGCCCAAAAACTCGCAAAAAGGGTAAACATGTATTAAATCCCACACATTTTTTATTCAATCAGTCATCAAGAGTAATCAATCAGTGTGTAGCAAATAAGAATTCAACTACTCAAGCTAATCCCCTATTATGCTTCAACATAATTCGATAATTCACAACAATCCAAATCATGTAAGGATAAACATCGAAAGAATCTGGAATTTCGAAGAGAAAAATCACAAACAAGAACTAAAGCATACTTGTTTTTTTTTTGTTTTTTTCAAAAAATTGAAGCAAAATTATGTTCAAAGCAAAACCATGTATGAAATACTCTCCCCCACACTTAATTCATACATTGTCCTCAATGTATCAAAAGTAGATGCTCAAAAACCATAAAAGAATAAGAGTAGAAAACTCCCCTGAAAATATTGAGCATCAACCATAATATATGTCACGAACTGAGGGTGAAGGTGATGCGGTCGGCTAGGTTGATTCTCGGACTGAACGGAGACGTGGGTCGGGTAGAGCGGAGAGGACGGCTGGTGGCGCGCATTTTTCTGAAGGAGCACAGAAAATAAAGAAAGGATAAGGAACATTTATATTTAAAAAGTTTATTTGAATCTTGTTTCCTGATTCAGAAGTGGTGTTGAGTTTAGACGTGGGCACGTCTTATACAAAAACATCTTCTGGATAGTGAGAGACTTTAGGAATAATTTTATTTTTGTAAGGCGTTCCCACGGGTTACAAAAATTCATATTCTGACCTAAAGAGGAAAACAAGATTAATTGTACTCCAAAAAATCAAGGAAAAAATAAAATAAAATAAAATAAAAAGAACGAAAATAAAAATTGAAAAAAAGAAATATTGGGTTGCCTCCCAAGAACGTCTTTGGCTAGACGTCGTAGCTTCTTAATCATCCTAAGTTGGGTACTCCAAAATGGGTTGACCAACAGTGTGCACCAGAGAACCTTCATAAAAAGGTTTGAAACGATGATCATCGACCTTAAATATTTGACCTGTATCCAAACTTTGTATTTTATCAATAGAGAAATTTTTCTCCACCCAATAGTTTCCTTATATTCTCTAATCATTCGAATCAACTTTTATTCTTCTAAACGAGAGAGTTTGTTGGGAATGATCACCGGAATAGTTTCCTCTTCTCTTAAAAATACATGCTTCAGATGATTTGACAAAGGCTTCGTTTGGGTGCCTGCACAAGAGAAGGAAGAAGCTTGGTGGGAGAAAGAGGTGACTCAATATAAGATACATCATACCTCGTGGGTTTGAGTGATTCTAGTTCTTGGATTGTATCTTGCAAATCAAGATCCAACACAGATTTTTTCATGATTCCCTACAATCCTTCAGAAGTGAAATTCATATTGAGTGTATCTTTCAACTTGTCATCTTCATTTTGATCAAAAGTTTCCTGTGCTAAAGGGTCAATAACATCCATGAAAAAAATAGAGGACACATCACTAGGACATCTCGTGGCATCATAAATATTGAATTTAATAATTTTACCATCAAATTCCATGGTAAGTGTACCATCATTTACATCAATTTTTGTCCTAGCTGTTTTTAAAAATGACCTTCCTAACAAAATTGATGTTGATTTAGAAGAATCATCTTCTTGCATATCAAGCACATAAACATCTACAAGAAAAACCAATTCATTAACTTGTACCAAAACATCCTCTAAAACTCCCTCAGGATATACATTATATCTATCAGCAAGTTGAATAATCACTCATGTTTTTTTCAAAGGACCAACATTCAGAGTTGAGTAAATAGAAAGAGGCATGATATTTATTGAGGCTCCTAGATCTAACATTGCTCTCTCAATCCTAACATTACCAAGTTTACAAGGGATAATAAACATACCTGGATCTTTGCACTTGGGGGGTAGTTTTTTCTAGAGGACAACAGAAACATTCTCCCCCATACTTACCTTTTCATTACCCTTGAGCTTTCTCTTGTTAGTGCATAATTCTTTAAGAACTTTAGCATATCGAGGTACTTGTTTGATTTCATCAAGTAAAGGAATATTTACCTCGATCTTGCGAAATGTCTCAAGAATTTCTTTCTCTTCTGCTTCTTTCTTGGACTTAGCGAATCTAGAGGGAAAAGGAGGATCTATGACAAATTCCTTTGTTTTTTCGCTTTGGAGTCCTTTAGGTTGGTCTTTCTGAGTCTGAGGAGCAACAACTTCCTTTTCAGTTTCTTCCTATAAGACTCTCATATGTGTCAATGGACTAGGTTCCTTCAACTCCTTCCCACTTCTCAATGTGATTGCACTAACATTTTGCTTTGAATTAACAACGGTTTGTGAATGTAACTTACCTTGGGATTCTAACCGACTTATGGAGGATGCCAATTGACTCATTTGATTTTCCAAATTTTGTATGCTTGTTCTTTTCTCTTGCTGAAATTGTTGTGTATTAGTTGTAAGTGATTTGAGAATTTCTTCTAGAGACATACCTGGCTTTGAAGAAGACTGCTCAAGTGGAAAACACTGAAATTGCGATGGTCTTGGTCCATAGCTAAGGTTAGGATGATCCCTCCATCCTGGATTATAAGTATTTAAGTAAGGATCATATTTCCTTTGTGGAGGATCGAGAAACCTTCCAACTGGATTGGCGTACTCATAAGAATCATCTTGAAATGTAGGGCACATGTCAGTTGGGTGACCGATCGCAGCACATATCCCACAAGCTTTCACTTGCTGCGTTTTTCCTACAACTAGTTGTTGAACAAGGGAGGTGAGATATGATAATTGATGTTCAATGGAAGACAAACCTACCTCATTCAACCTTCTTGGAGATGTGTCTTGCCTAAAACTAAATTGTTGTGAATTAGTGGCCATGATGGAGATCAATTCCCTAGCATCGTGAGAAGTCTTATTCACTATGGCACCTCCACTGGATGTATCCATCATCTTTCTCTCCATGGGTAGTAGTCCTTCATAGAAATATTGGATGAGAAGTTGCTCAGAAATCCCATGTTGAGGGCATCTTGCACACAGTCGTTTGAATCTTTCCCAATACTCGTGAAGGTTCTCAACATCTTTTTGTTTTATTCCACATATCTCCCTTCGAATGTCAGTGACTCTTGAAGCAGGGAAAATTTATCAAGGAACATCCTCACCATCTCATCCCAAGTAGTTACAGAACCAAGGGGTAAATAGAAGAGCCAATCTTTAGCTCTATCGGTTAGGGAGAATGGAAAAACACGTAATTTGATCTGCTCTTCAATCACTCCATGTGGTCTTATACTTGAACATACCACGTGGAATTCCTTCAAATGCTTATGGGGATCTTCATTCTCAAGACCATGAAAAGTAGGCAACAAATGAATCAAACCAGATTTTAATTCAAAAGCTACCTCCAAAGCTGGGTAGTCAATGCAGAGCGGTTGTTGATTCAGATTTAGTGCAACCAATTCTCTTAGTGTTCTTTCTTCGTTGGACATTGTTCCTTTTATTTCAGAATCACTGGATGAATCAACCAAGTTGAGTACAGATTCCGATTCAGGGGATGATTAAGAGGAAGCTTGTTTGTTGCGCAAGTTAGTTTCTTTCCTTAACATGCGAGCGGTCTTCTCGATCTCAGGATCGTATTGAAGTTCACCTGCACGAGAAGAACGGGGCATCAAAATACGTCTAAATGACACCAATCCCCGGAAACGGCGCCAAAAATTTGGTGGGTGTCAAATCCAACAAATAATAATACTTGCTTTTAGAAATATAAATTTGTAGTAGCTGTAAGCAAGGTCGAATCCACAGGGATTGGGTAGACTTATTTTAATGAAAATTAAAGCAAATAAAAGGGGTTTTAAAATCGAGAAGAAATCAAAAAGAAAAAGCATTTAAAATCAACCAAAAAATTAGAGAAATCAATATCAAGAAAATATCCAACTAAAGGTATAATTTCAGAATTGGTTCAGAGAATTGATCATAGATGCAATGATAAAATCTTATACTTTTCACTAAATTGGTTATGGTTATTGAGAAGCTATAACAACCTGTCTCTCCTTAGTTTCTCGATAATCAAGAGGAGCTATTTGATTATTTCCCTTGTTAATGAACAACCCTAGACAAGCTCTTAAGATTTAATCCACCAACAGCATTAACCACTAGAGGGACTACTAATTCTAGCCAACGAATACACAAGCTCGATTCATTTAGACTAAGTTAAATACATTCATAACATAATCAAAATCAACTATGTTACTTTACCACTAATATTAGAACGTTTAAACAATTACATATTTAAAGTTCTAAATGGCAATTTATCAACCTGATAATTGAACAACGACCCTTTGCACAATCAATCAAGACAATAATTCTTAATAAAAACAGAAGATATATAAATAGCAAATAAGTAAAAGAACAATGAAAATTATTTAGATCTCAATATCCTTGAAGAACCAAAACTTCAATTATCCTCCAGATGGAACAAAAGTATTTAGCTACTCATAATTGAAAGAACACCAAAAGAAAAACTTAAAGAAAACTTAATGAAAGACTTGATATCTCCTATGAATGCCCTAGCTCCCCTTTTATAAGGATTTTCCTACTCTCGATAAGGAAGTTTCCCTTAAAGATAATCCCACAAAAATAGGAGTTTTAAATGCCCTCATCTTTTCCTAAAGATAAGAATAATTCAAAAGAGTCTTCCAGCCGTCATTAAACTTTTTTTCCTTGTAAATTTGTAACCCTAATTTAGGGTTGTACAGATTGGTAAGGCGTGCCTACGCTTTAACTGAAGACTTCTTCTACGATAGCTCAGGATGAATAAGCCGTGCCCACGTCTTATGTGAAAACCTCTTCTGGTCTTGCCAACTTTTCAGATTCTGATTTTTCCTCCATAATTTGGGGATTTTGTGAAGATCATGCTAATAATTAGATTTTGAACTTGTTTTTATCCAAATATTCAACCCAATCCAAAAAATATGAAATATAATCAAAATACACGATTTAAGCAATTTTAATTATTCAAATATTAGGAAAATATCATAGAATATATGTTTAATATGCATCTTATCATGGGTCTAACAGACGGGAAACACCGGACCTAACTGACCCTCAGTAAGGTGAAACATGAGTACCTTCATAAAAATATCTTCTTGGATTAATTCCATATAAATAAGCAAAAATGCTAAAAATACTAAGCATTTTCGGATTAACGGGCTCAATTCAAGGCTTTCGGGTTAGAATTTGGCAAAACGAACTTTGGAATCAGACTCAGGACGTCGAAAAACATAAAATATGATTTTTCAAAATTTTGGTCAAAGTCAAACGGTCAATGGTCGATCAACAGTTAACAGTTGGATCAGGTCGGATTGGGTCAGCGGGTCGGGTCAGATCGACCCTTATTCAAGTAGTCAACCAGGCGGTGGAATTTCCCCACGTGCAAAGGCGGCGCGTGGGGCACATGTGGGGCTGTAGGGGGTCGAAAAAATTCTTAAAAAAATTTCTAATTGCATTGTAAAGGGTTTTGAGACACTTACCAAACTTGGTTTACAACCGTGAACGATGGAGAGCTTGATTTCGAAACGTCAAAAACTTGATATTCCTTACCCCCACAAGCCAGCGACAACGAAAACAAGAAGGACACCGGTGGATTTGGGACGACGCAATGAACACGATGGTGTGGGAGGTGTCGAAAATGGAGCAACGGTCAGTGACAAATCAATGATCAAAGTTTTCCTTCTAAAAGAGGAAAATATTGAAGAGAGTAAATAAAAAAATTGAATTTTTTCCTAGGGTCCTAAAAAAGAAAATGGTAAAATTATGCATAAGTTATCCACCTTTAGTTACTTTATGAATTTGGATCTGAATTTAATCAAAATTTCACTTTAGTCCCTAAATTAAATCAAAATTCAATTTAGTCCTCAAAAAATCTTATCGTAGAATTTTAGGCCCTATTTTGGTGTGCGACAACTCTCCATCTTAAAAGAAATTTCATCCTCGAAATTTACCTGATGTAAACAGATGTAGAAATTGAGCCTCCATTGACTCCAATGTCTCCCAAGTAGCTTCTAAGGGTCCACGGTTACTCCATTGAACTTTGACCATTGGAATATATCTATTCTGAAGAACTCTCTCATCCCGATCTAAAATCTGAATGGACTCTTCCTCATAGGACAAATTAGGTCTCAACTCTACCTCCTCAACCTGAGTGATATGACTTGGATCTGGATGATATCACCTTAACATGGATACATGAAAAAAAATCATGAATGCAAATAAGATTGGGAGGCAACTCAAGCTGATAAGCAACAGGTCTAACTTTCTTCAGAATATGATACAACCCAATAAATCTCATATTTAACTTACCATTATGTCCAAATCTCAACACATTCTTCCATGGAGATACCTTGAGAAAAACTTAATCCCTAACCTCAAACTCGATATCCTTCCATCGTTGATCTACATATGATTTCTGCCTATCAAATGCCTCTCTCAGGCGATCACAGATTAATCGGACAATATCCTCAGTCTCTTGAACTAACTCTGGACCCAAAGTCTTTCTATCATGCAAATCTGTCTGACAGATAGGAGTACGATATTTACGTCAATACAGAGCCTCATATGGTGCCATGTGAATACTTGTCTGGTAACTGTTATTGTAAGCAATCTCGGTTAAGGACAAGAAATCTTCCTAACTACCACGAAAGTCAATCACAGAACCCTGTAACATATCCTTCAACACTTGGATCACTCGCTCATACTGACCATCAATCTATGGGTGGAAGTTGTACTGAAATTCAAACTAGTACCCAGAGCCTCGTGCAAAACCTTTCAGAACCTGGAAGTGAACCTCAGATCTCGGTTAGATATGATAGACAACGGAACACCATGAAGTCTAACGATCTTAGAAATGTACAATATAACCAGCTTGTCCAAAGAATAATTAACCCGAACAGGGCTAAAGTGAGCTGACTTGGTGAGTCGATTAACAATCACCCAAATAGAATCCTTTTTAGAAGGAGTCAAAGGAAGACCGGTAACGAAGTCCATCGTAATACGCTCTCATTTCCACTCAGGAATCTTAATTGAATGTAACAATCTAGACGGATGCTGGTGCTCTGCCTTAACCTGCTGACAAGTCAGATACCTCACCACAAAATCTGAAATATTCTTCTTCTTACCAGTCCAAAAGTAACGCTTCTTAAGATTCTTGTACATTTTATCCCCGCCAGGATGCATAGAATAAGAACTACTATAAGCCTCCTGAAGAATAACCCATCTTAACTCATCATCTTTAGGGGCGCAGTAACGACCATGAAAACACAAAACACTATCCAGATCCAAAGTATACTCTGAACTCAATCCCCACCTAACTTGTTCAATAATGGGAATCAATGAGCTATCAAGGAGCTGTTTGGCCTTAATCTTCTCAGCCAAAATGGGTTTAACTTGTAACTCTGCTAATAGACTGTCGTCATCAAATAAACTTAAGCTGGCGAACAAGGCTCTCATATCAGATATCATCTTACGGCTCAAGGTATCGGCCACCACATTAGCCTTCCCTGGATGATACTCTATCTCACAATCATAGTCTTTTAGAAGCTCCAACTAGCGACGCTTTCTCAAATTCAATTCTTTCTGAGTAAGCATATACGTCAGACTTTTATGATCGATATAGATATAACCTTTTTCTCCGTAGAGATAGTGTCTCCAGATCTTCAAAGTAAAAATCACGGCAGCTAACTCTAGATCATGAGTGGGATAGTTGCAATCATGTGACTTTAACTGACGTGACGCATAAGCGACAACCTTTCTATCTTGTATCAAAACACATCCTAATCCAAAGTGATAAGCATCACTGTAGACAGAAAAATCTTTTTCAAACTCAGGCTGAATCATCACTGGGGGCTTGAATCAGAACAATCTTCAGTTTCTCAAAGCTAGCTTGTTATTTCTCATACCAGACAAATGTAACATATTTCCTTAATAGCTTCATTAGAGGAACTGAAATAATGGAGAATGTTGAAAACATTTTGATGTTTTGATATAACAAATTAAGTTAAATGAATTTTAAGATTTTACAAAAGATTTACTAAATATATTCGATGTAATTATTCGAATATCAAAATATTACTCCAGGTCTTTTAAAGTTCATTTTAATCCTTACTAAAGTGTAAAATTCTGTTTTATACTTAAACTATTTTAAAACAATTTTACAAAGTATTTCGAGCCTTAATCGAGCCAAAAATATTTTCTTTTTAAAGTGTTTCAAGAAAAATCAGATTGCCCAGGGGGTACAGATTCCCCCCCAGGGGGTACCGATTCCCCATTGTCTAACGGTCAAAGACAGATTGCACTTAGGGAACCGATTCCCCATGAGGGGGTACCGATTCCCCTCACGTTCCAAGTTGTTTTATTAATTGTTTCTCATCCCCAAACGGCTCCAAAACATCCCCAACGACTATATACGACTTCAAACATATTCCAAGATATAAAT